TCTCGCGAATGGAACCAGCGTTCATGTACTAGAGGCCGAACGGTCTCCACCCAAGATTATAGATTCCAAAAAAAACATCAAGGTACCTGATAGTCAAATTGAGGAATCATAATTGTAGATATAATCTCTTGAAAGCCCCTAGGACAAAGAGGCTCCTTACTTACAGAGGAAAGCCCATCAGAATAACGTCAGACTTGTCCACAGAGACCTGGCAAGCCAGAAAGGGCTGGCAAGATATATTCAGGGCACTAAATGAGAAGAACATGCAGCCAAGAATACTTTATCCAGCAAGACTGACATTCAAAATGGATGCAGAGATAAAGAGTTTCCAAGACCGGCAAGGCTTAAAAGATTATGCAACCACCAAGCCAACACTGCAGGAAATATTAAGGGGGGTTCTATAAAAGAGGAAAAATCCTAAGAATAGCATTGAACAGAAATATAGAGACAATCTACAGAAAGAAAGACTTCAAAGGTAACACGATGTCCGTAAAAATGTATCTATCAATAATCACTCTCAATGTGAATGGCCTAAATGCGCCCATAAAACGGCACAAGGTTGCAGATTGGATAAAACGACAGGACCCATCCATATGTTGTCTACAAGAGAACCATTTTGAACCTAAAGATACAACCAGATTGAAAGTGAAGGGTTGGAGAAGCATCTTTCACGCCAATGGGCCTCAAAAGAAGGCTGGGGTAGCGATTCTCATATCAGATAAATTAGATTTTAAACTAAAGACTGTAGTCAGAGATACAGAAGGACACTACATCATTCTTAAAGGGACTATCCACCAAGATGATCTAACAATTGTAGATATCTATGCCCCCAATATGGGAGCAGCCAATTACATAAGAAAACTGTTAATCAAGATAAAGAGTCATATTGATATGAATACATTAATAGTAGGAGATCTTAACACGCCTCTCTCAGAAATAGATCATGGAAGCAGAAAATCAATAAAGTAACAACAGCATTGAATGACATATTGGACCAGATGGACCTCATAGATATATACAGAACATTCCACCCTAAAACAACAGAATACTCATTCTTCTCAAGTGCACATGGAACCTTCTCAAGAATAGACCACATACTGGGTCACAAATCAGGACTCAACCGATACCAAAAGACTGAGATTATTCCCTGCATATTCTCAGATCACAATGCTTTGAAACTGGAGCTCAATCACAAGGAAAAGTTCAGAAGGAACTCAAACACCTGGAAGCTAAAGACCACCTTGCTTAACAATGCTTGAATCAACCAGGAGATCAAAGAAAAACTGAAACAATTCCTGGAAATCAATGAGAACAAAGACACTTCTGTCCAAAACCTATGGGATACAGCAAAGGCGGTCCTAAGGGGGAAATACATAGCCATCCAAGCCTCCCTCAAAAAAATTGAAAAATCCAGAACACACCAGCTGTCTCTACACCTTAAAGAACTGGAGAATCAACAACAAATCAAACCAACTCCACACATAAGAAGGGAAATAATCAAGATTAGAGCTGAGATCAATGAGGTAGAAACCAGAGATACAGTAGAACGTATCAATGAAACTAGAAGCTGATTTTTTGAAAGAATCAATAAGATCGATAAACCATTGGCCACACTGACCCAATGAAAAGAGAGAAAGCCCAAATTAATAAAATTATGAATGAAAAGGGAGAGATCACAACTAACACCAAGGAAGTGGAAACAATCATCAGAAGTTATTATCAACAGTTACATGCCAATAACCTAAGCAACCTAGATGAAATGGATGCATTCCTGGAAAACTGTAAACTCCCAAAATTGAACCAGGAAGAAATCAACAACCTAAATAGACTTATATCTGGTAACGAGATTGAAGCAGTGATCAAAAACCTCCCAAAAAACAAGAGCCCAGGACCAGATGGATTCCCTGGGGAATTCTACCAAACTTTCAAAGAAGAAATAACACCTATCCTCCTGAAGCTGTTCCAAAAAATTGAAGCAGAAGGAAAACTTCCAGACTCTTTCTATGAAGCCAGCATTACCCTGATCCCCAAATCAGGCAAAGACCCTGCCAAAAAGGAGAATTTCAGACCAATATCACTGATGAATATGGATGCTAAGATTCTCAACAAGATCCTAGCAAACAGGATCCAACAGCACATTAAAAAGATTATCCACCCTGACCAGGTGGGATTCATTCCTGGGCTACAAGGATGGTTCAACATTCGCAAATCAATCAGTGTGATAGAACAAATTAATAAGAGAGGAGAGAAGAACCCCATGGTCCTCTCAATTGATGCAGAAAAAGCATTTGACAAAATCCAGCATCCGTTCCTAATTAAAACTTTTCAAAGTATAGGGATAGAGGGAACATTCCTGAACTTCATAAAATCTATCTATGAAAGACCCACAGCAAATATCATCCTCAATGGGAAAAAGCTTGCAGCCTTCCCATTGAGATCAGGAACACGACAAGGATGCCCACTCTCACCACTCTTGTTCAACATAGTATTAGAAGTCCTAGCAACAGCAATCAGACAACAAAAAGAAATAAAAGGTATCCAAATTGGCAATGAAGAAGTCAACTCTCTCTCTTTGCAGATGACATGATTATTTATATGGAAAATACAAAAGACTGGTGGCCCCCAAACTACTAGAACTCATACAGCAATTCAGTAATGTGGCAGGATACAAAGTCAATGTACAGAATCAGTGGCTTTCTTATACACTAACAATGAAAATACAGAAAGGGAAATTAGAGAATCTATTCCATTTACTATAGCACCAAGAACCATAAGATACCTGGGAATAAACCTAACCAAAGAGGTAAAGGATCTGTACTCGAGGAACTACAGAACACTCATGAAAGAAATTGAAGACGACACAAAAAGATGGAAGACCATTCCATGCTCTTGGATCAGAAGAATAAACATTGTTAAAATTCTATACTGCCTAGAGAAATCTATACTTTTAATGCCATTCCAATCAAAATACCACCGATATTTTTCAAAGAGCTGGAGCAAACAATCCTAAAATTTGTATGGAATCAGAAGAGACCCCGAATTGCTAAGGAAATGTTGAAAAAGAAGAACAAAACTGGGGGCATCACGTTGCCTGATTTCAAGCTTTATTACAAAGTTGTGATCATTAAGACAGCATGGTGCTGGCACAAAAACAGACACATAGACCACTGGAACAGAGTAGAGAGCCCAGATATGGACCCGCAACTCTATGGTCAACTAATCTTCAACAAAGCAGGAAAAAATATACAGTGGAAAAAAGTCTCTTCAATAAATGGTGCTGGAAAAATTGGACAGCTATGTGTAGAAGAATGAAACTCGACCATTCTCTTACACCATACACAAAGATAAACTCGAAATGGATAAAAGACCTCAATGTGAGACAGGAATCCATCAGAATCCTAGAGCAGAACATAGGCAGTAACCTCTTTGACATTGGCCACAGCAACTTCTTTCAAGATATGACTCCAAAGGCAAAGGAAACAAAAGCGAAAATGAACTTTTGGGACTTCATCAAAATCAAAAGCTTCTGCACAGCAAAGGAAACAGTCAAAAAAACAAAGAGGCAACCCACGGAATGGGAGAAGATATTTGCAAATGACAGTACAGACAAAAGATTGATATCCATGATCTATAAAGAACTCCTCAAACTCAACACACACAAAACAGATAATCATATTAAAAAATGGGCAGAAGATATGAACAGACACTTCTCCAATGAAGACATACAAATGGCTATCAGACACATGAAAAAATGTTCATCATCACTAACCATCAGGGAGATTCAAATTAAAACCACATTGAGATATCACCTTACACCAGTTAGAATGGCCAAAATTAGCAAGACAGGAAACAACATGTGCTGGAGGGGTTGTGGAGAGAGGGGAACCCTCTTCCACTGTTGGTGGGAATGCAAGTTGGTGCAGCCTCTTTGGAGAACAGTGTGTAGATTCCTCAAGAAATTAAAAATAGAGCTTCCCTATGACCCTGCAATTGCACTACTGGGTATTTACCCCAAAGATACAGATGTAGTGAAAAGAAGGGCCATCTGTACCCCAATGTTTATAGCAGCAGTGGCCACGGTCGCCAAACTGTGGAAAGAACCAAGATGCCCTTCAATGGACGAATGGATAAGGAAGATGTGGTCCATATACACTATGGAGTATTATGCCTCCATCAGAAAGGATGAATACCCAACTTTTGTAGCAACATGGATGGAACTGGAAGAGATTATGCTGAGTGAAATAAGTCAAGCAGAGAGAGTCAATTATCATAGGGTTTCACTTATTTGTGGAGCATAACAAATAACATGGAGGACAAGGGGAGTTAGAGAGGAGAAGGGAGTTGGGGGAAATTGGAAGGGGAGGTGAACCATGAGAGACTATGGACTCTGAAAAACAATCTGAGGGGTTTGAAGCGGCGGGGGGTGGGAGGTTGGGGGAACCAGGTGGTGGGTATTAGAGCATGGATTACATGGAGCACTGTGTATGGTGCAAAAACAAGGAATACTGTTATGCTGAAAATTTTTAAAAAATAAAATAAAAAAATAACAACAAAAAAAGTACAATGAAGTTTTCTGAAGGATGAGCTGCGTGTATTTGTGGACCTCTAACAAATCTGATACTGGTGACACCCATTCCATATTAGGGCAAACTGCAAGTTATTTTGTTGAATTTTGCTAGTTAGATTTTCAGTACAAAGTCCTTCTATGTAACTTAGGATAATGGAATCATATATAGAACAGAGTACCAAAAGTAACAGGAAAACATTAGTGATTAACAGACCAACTTGTGCCTTGATTTAATAAGGCTTTGACCCAATTTGTTTGTCTATCTAGCAGTGTATAAGTCCGGCCATCAGGATGTTTGGGTTTGAACTACTTGGGAAAATATCTTCATATGTAAACTGTGTTACTAATATATCATTAAGGTTATATATACATAATAAATATATAATATTCAGGAAAAGACCCTCATACTTTTCACCATCAATGGATAACATACCTGCTTCCAGCATTTTAATGGACTCTAAAAAGGGCAGATTTCTCGCCTTGACATCAGGGTGATATCCAGTTACACGCCCAGCCTTTGCCTGAGGCAGCTTCTGGAGATCAGCCTTCAGGTCAGGTCCTTAAAACACAAAGGTATTCCTTTGAAGCACTAAATATGAAATATAAATAAAAGCCTATAGGTTAGTGTGATTTAAAAAATATGTGATGGAGAAATGCATTTCACACCCTTGTTTTCCAGTAGTATGATATGCTCTATTTCAAGTGACATTTTAAAGACAAAGCCCACTGCACTTCATTTCCTTTCTTATACCATAGTGTTCTAAGAACAGAGAGCATCAACTAGCAGAGAAATCAAGTCTACACCATGCGTAAGGTTTTGTTTAAAAGTACAATGGCGTTTTCTAAAGGATGAGCTGCGTTTATTTGTCGGCCTCTAACAAATCCCATCCTGGTGACACCCATTCCCTACTAGGGCAACCTGCAAGTTATTCTGTCAAATTTTAGTAGTTAGAGTTCAGGGCCAAGTCCCTCTGTGTAACTTTGGATAAAAGAGTCATGTATAAAATAGAGTTCCAAAAGTAACAGCAAAACATTAGTGATTAAGAGTCCACCTTGTGTCTTACAGTGGGAATAAAGAAAGGAGGATGGAAAGAAACTAATGGACTTTGTTGTCAGTCGTGCTGTGGAAACCTCTGAACAGCAAATTCCTGTAATAATCTATGGCCTGAAGTTGTCATTAATTCACAAGTATTTGATGAAAATGCCCTATTTGGAAGACATTCATTTCTTGTTTCATGATATTTTAAGATACTTTTGATTTTCCTATTCCTAAAAGCATTTTACACACCTTTGAAAGCCGCTTAAAAGTCATACCAATACAGTTACCCTACGGCCAGTTTCCTGAATTACAGAACTCTTACAAAACGTACCATATCAAATGATGAATCAGACAGTGTCGACCATTCTTTGAGCTCTTTTCTGGAGTCCCTGTCCTGCTCCACTGAACTGGATTGTTTCCTGTGCCAGCAATAAGCTACGTTACTGTACAGACACATTTGAGTAGTAAGCATTCTGTAGAGAACCACACTCCCCTGTTCGTATAGCAACACAGACGGTAGGAAGAACACAAACCTCTTTAAATTATTTTTTTTCAAATTTTATTTATTTATGTGACAGACAGAGATCACAAGCAGGCAGAGAGGCAGGCAGACAGAGAGACAGAGAGGAAGCAGGCTCCCTGCTGAGCAGAGAGCCCGATGAGGGACTCGATCCCAGGACCCCGGGACCCTGACCCTAGCCGAAGGCAGAGGCTTAAACCACTGAGCCACCCAGGCGCTCCTTTAAATTATTATTTTAAGTAACCTCTGCTCTCAGTATGGGCCTTGAACACCACCCCGACATCAAGAGTCACATGCTCTACCAACTGAGCCAGTCAGGTTCCCCCAGAACACAAACCTTGTTATGAAATATGAATTGCATCTCCATGTGTCAAGCAGTCTTTGGCAAACCACAATCCCAGAGCCTTAGTTTTCTCATTTCTAAAATGCAGCTCCCATCCCTAGGCAAATCAGCCTTATTCCTCATGTTGTAGGGTATGCTGACTTGGCACTCTGCCTGTGCTGCTGAAAACTGCTTGCGCTTTCCATGAAATGAGTGAAAAGGCCCCACAAAAAATGTGCTAAGAAGATCAAATTAAACTAGGGAGATGATGTATAGTATTGAAATTAAACATTTTCCTCCAATTTAGTAAAAAGACTGCATTTTCAGGCACACCGATTAATTCCTGAGGAAAAGGGGAAAGTCATTATGGTGAAGGACTACATGAAGCTGCACACTCTACACTCTTCACATTTTCAACCCATCTTCCGGAAATGACTGAGATTCTCTTTGCATGTTTTCTTTCCTCTTGTCATGGTTTGTCATAATGCACAATGCACACATACACCCCCCCTTCCCCCACTGTCATTCTCCTTCCCTTTCCCTTCACCTTGAGCCCAGGTGCTCCTTCCACTTCCTTCCCAGGTTCAGGTTTCATATCTCATCTCTCAGGTAGTGCCTCCTTTTGTTTTGGTTTCTCATCCCTGGGTTACTGCGCCCAGGGGTGTGTGTGTATGTGAGCCAATAAAAAGTTGTGTGGTTAATACATGCTGACAGTGTAAATAGACATCAGACATTTGGATATCAAACAATGAATAAGCATAAAGACACTCCCACATCATGATGCTACGTGCTTATTCCTAAAAGTGACTCACCCACAGAGCGGCTGCTGCAACAAGAGGTAGCCACCAGCACTTTGGAGTCTACTGTAAACTCTGCTGGGATGGATCGGTGCTTAATAAGCATGACAAAGAAGACACAGGCTGTATTTCCACAGGCACCAGAAATTTGGAATCCTCCTGGTTCACTGTTTCCCTCCCTTTATCAGCAGAGAAGCTTTCATCACTGTATCTGTATTCTGTTGGTAGCTCAACAAAACCCCAGAGCAATAAATGTACAGTAGTCCTAATCATCCAATATGGAAGTACTCACACCCACATGCTGCTTAGACCCTTGGTCATCTTTTCTATGTTTAGATTTGGATCTTGATCTGACTCGGCCACATAGTTCACGCTGAATGTGGAATATTTATATTTGTTAAATGTACTCTAATGGAGAGGTATACCACTTCCAAGGCCATGGGTTTAATTGTTTCTTACTTTGAAAATACGTAGAAAGCCAACCTAGTATCAGTATAGTGTACACCCTGTGTTCACACCAAATACATGGGCTGCAAGATCATCTACTTCAGGCTGGCCATGAAATTACCTTATGGACAGGCTAAAACACAAGACTTAGGCTCCCAGCTAGATTCCCAGTACAAAAGGCATTTGAGAAAATAGTACTGGACATTTAAACCTGACTCACTATTGCTATGGTCACATTTCCCTTTACAAGTCTCATTTTACTATCTTTAATAATGTTTTGTTGGAATGCAGAGAAAGAAACAATCCTTTGCATACTGCCTATGGCTGTCCCTGCACTACAAGTGTTCAGGTATCTAGTCAAAACAGACTAAAGGGCTAGCTGCTGTCTTGACACTGCACAGTGCACTGCAAATCTCAGGGACTCAGTTACAAGCCCCCCAGCGTTCTCCTCTTTCTGGTCTTTTCTATACCTCTTAGTCTACCCTCTGCCCAGGGTCCCACAGAGGATCCTGGCCTCCGTGTTCTTCGTACAGTTGAGGTGCTCCCAGACTCAGACACCTCAACTAACACCCTGCCACCAGTCCTCGCCCCGTCTTTACCTCCCCACCTCAGCCCACCAACCTAGCTTGATCTATCCGCACCACGAGGAGAAGCGTAACGGCAGCCACGATGTCTGTGAGGAGAAGGGCTGTAGCTCTTTGGCACTTCCACCTAGGACGCCACAGCTCTACTGTCCCCACCAACCCGAGGCCCACTGGCTCCCTTTCCATCCTCGCTCACATTTAAACTCCTGGAAGGACTGATGTGGGGACTTACCAGTTGAATTCAGGTGGCGAGAATTCTCACAGCACAGAGAACACGACCGCCCGCATCAAACTCAGCTCTGCTCACAGAACGTGGGCAGTAGCGCGCATGCCCACAATAGCTGCACACAGCAATGAGCATGGGCACTCTTTGCTCACAACAATAAGCATGCGCACAGAGTCGGGGGCATGCAGGGTGGGTTGAGCTTTTCCTGCCTGTGCTGTTGCAGACACTCGTAACCATGGGGTCCACCGAGGAGAAGGAAAGAGGGTTGAGCAGTCTCTTTTTCAAACCACCCAATCTCTCCTATGCATCTAGATACTCTGGGGGTCACACAGCCCCAGCTTACCCTGAGTGGACAGGTGTCAGAAAAAGCACTGAGCCAGAAATCTACAGGCTTCAATAAGTCATTTCCTTCTTCGCTTTTGGGTGTTGTGTCACACTTGAACGAACTGGCTCACCCATCTATGATAAATTCATTAACACCTGTTTTCTTTACGATTTTGTTTGCACTAGAGCACATTGTCATCTCTGCACTGGTGGCTCATTTCTCCCCCTGGAACTGTATTCATTTGGTCCGTGTATGCTTCAGAAATATCCAGATATTGGTAAGATTTAGGCTCAGCCCATGGTCACATGGCATGCAGCAGTAGTGCCTATTCTCCTCAAATTATGTACTTCCCAGATTACAGCCAGGCCACTTCTAAGCAAAGCTGGCTTAATCTCATAAAGGGAGAGCACTGCCCAGACAGAGCCTTAATAGATTTTTGGAGGTGGCAAGGCAGGAGAGGTATTTATATTTCAGATTTGGAAATCAGGTATACAGCAGATCTTTCAATGTTGGAGAAGGGTATGAATAACATTGGGTGAGGATCTTGATAGAATGGTTTAAGACGCAAGGGAAAACCCTTCGTAAACACTTTAAGTTATTTATTTATTTGAGAAAGAGAAAGAGAGTACAAGCAGGGGGAGACGTAGAGGGAGAGGAGAAGCGACTCCCCACTGTGCTGGGAGCCTGACCTGAGGCTGGATCCGTGACCTGGAGATCATGACCTGACCTTAAGGCAGACCCTTAACCATCTGAGCCACCTAGGTGTCCAATAAGGCAAGAATTTTAAGACAAAAAGTTCAATGATTCTTGTAGTTGAAAAATGTCCTTTGGGGTTTGATTAATGACTTAAGGGGTTTTTCAGGTAGTTTCTAAAATGAAAAAGAAAGCTATTAGCGACCCTTCTGTTCTTAGGCAAGGCCTTGCTGGATTAGTGAATTTATATTGATGTGGAGAGCAAAATGGAGTCTTTCATGTGAAGCAGGAGCCCTGTGTCAAGCCCTTCCATGAAAACCACCACACTCAGCCAATGGCAAGCTGGAGAAATCCCTCCCAGCTTCCTCTTCTCCCCTGTAAAAGCAAGACTCTCTCCTATGTTCTCTACCTCTTAACTAGGCATTCCCTGGCTTCCTTGTCCAGAACTGCAAGCTCCCTGCTTTTGCCTGACTGAGGTCAATTTGCAGGTAAAAAAAAAAAAAAAAAAGCTTGTCCTTTTGTTTCTTAAGGTCTACATACACTCCTTAAAATCGAGACTCTAAATCATTCTTCTAGTCTTCTCAAAGGGACCTTTAACTAGGGTGACTATACATTGGGAAAAAGGAAATAATCACAACTTTTAGGGACTATTGGACACGGGTTCTGAAGTGCCACTGACTCCAGGAGAAGTAAAGTGCTTCTGTGGCCCTCCAGGCCGAGCAGGGGCTCACTGAGGTCAGGTGACCTATAGGGTTCTGGCTCAGTTCCATTAAACAGCAGGCCCAGTGAGCTCCTGAACGTGTCTTGTGTTTATTTTCCCAGTCTGGAATTCACAATTGGAATAAGCATGCTCAGCTCTTGGTTTGTAATTGATTTCCTGACCTGTAGAGTGAGGCCTATTATGGTGGGAAAGGCTGAATGGAAGCCATTATATCTGGTTCTCCCTAGGAATCGAGTCAATCTAAAGTCGTGTTTCATCCCAGGGGGGATTAGAGAGATGAATGCCTCCATCAAGGACCTGAAAAATGAAGGTTTGGTGACTTTTCCCCATATCCCGGTACTGGTCTTCTGCTTGGCCTCCACAGAAGACAGATGGATCTTGAAGAATGACAGTGTGCTGCTGTCAACTTGGGCGGGTGCTGAATCCAATTTTAGCTGTTGTACCAGATGTGGTTTCATTGCTCAAGCAGATTCTCACATGGCCTGGTCCCCGGTTGGCAGCTATTGATCTGGAAAAGGCTTTGTCTCCGCTTCTGTCCGTAAGTCCCACCAGAGGCAGTGGGCTTCCAGCTGCCAAGGCTCATGATACACCCTCAAAGGCTTAACTCATGGTGTATCATTGCCTGCCCTCCTGTCATCATCTAGTTCACCGGTACTGGATTACCTGTCTCTTCCGCAATGTATCACACTGGTCCATTATGCCGATGATATGATGGTACTGGGCCTGGTGAGTGAGATGTCCTCGGTCACTCCAGAATCTTGGATAAGCTATTTGTGTGGCAGAGGCTGTGAATTCAATCTGACAAAACTTCAGAGGTTTTCTACTTCCGGGAACTTTGTAGTGTGCAGGAAACGTGCCATCCCTTCCAAGCTGAAGAAGAAATTGCTACAATGAGTTCTCCTAAGGCGAGCCAGAAGGACGATGCCTAGCAGGCATCGTGGACTTTTGCAGACATCCTATTCCTTGCTTGGGTATGTTACTCCTTCCCATTTACCGAGTGACCCAAAAGGCTGCTAGGTTCCGTTGGGGCCAGAACAAGAGAAGGTTCTGCAGCTGATTCAGGCTTCCATGCGATCTGCTCTGCCACTTAGGCCACATGATCCTGCAGATCCAGTGGTATCTGAAGTGGCAGTGGCAGGTAGGGATGCCGTTTGAAGCCCTTGCACGCCGGCTCCTCTAGGGCGATCACAGTGTGGGCCCTTGAGCTTCTGGATCAAGGCCCTGCAGCATTCTCAGATAACTACTCTTCTTTGGAGACGCTGCTCTGGGCCTGCCATTGGGCCTTTATAGAGACTGAAAACTTGACCATAGGCCACCCAGCTACCACACAACCTGAGCTGTCCATCATGAACTGGGTGTCATCTGGCTGACCGATCCATAAACTCGGGTGTGCACAGCAACACACCCTCATCAAATGGAAGTGGTTTATATGCGGGAGTCAGAGCGCAGTTCCGGTTGATGAAAGGGTTGGAGGGGTTACTGGTCTTTGGAAGCTGAGCACGGGAAGGGATTCAAACCTTTCCTTGCCGAGATTGAAATCATCTGGATTCCTAGGCATGTAACTCCCCTGTACATTGAGGGAAGCCGGCATATTCCTTTGTCTGGATGGAGATGTAGAGAGAACACTTGACTGTTTTTGCAAAACACCTCAGTGAAATCAATTCTTTTTGGGCCTTGTGTCTGATATGACACACACATCGGAAGCCGTTTGTCGTTGTGCAGGCCTGGCAGAAACACAATGAGGGAAATGAAAGTATACCTACCCTATAGATTTTCTTGAGGCTGTACTGTCAGCCGATGGGGAAAATTAAGTGTGAGATATTCTTAGTAACCTTCTGTCATCAGTGAGTTAGCAAA